ATTTTTATGTGTCTTGTTTAGAAAGGAAGGTGTGTAGGCAGACTGGATACTATTTACCAAAACTACAGGACTTCTCTGCTCAAGATGCGACTGCCTTCATTTTTTGAAACCTTCCCATATATCTAGTCAATTTGTATCTCATTGCAGATAATATTCTGGGCAGGCCTGTAGCCAGGATTTCGATTCGGGGGGGGGGGGGGAGGAGTTTTTTTCGGGGGGGGGTTCGGGGGGGGCTGAGTTTCGGGGGGGGGGCTGAGTCTGAGTGAAAGAGGGTCTACTAGCAAACCTTTTGTATCATTACCCCAATACCCCCATGCATATGGGATATATTGAGTAGGTGATCAGATCATGATATGAATAAACATAACAGTTTAAATAATGCACCAGTAAGGCCTTTTTTCAAACCACCATGAGAATTTCGGGGGAGGGGGGGCTGAAGCCCCTCACCCCCCCCCCCCCCCCGGCTACATGCCTGATTCTGGGGATTGTAGTACAGAAAAGGGTCCCCAACTCTAATTACTGGAATATTAAGGTTATGCTTTCAGAATTTAGGTTTCGGAAAGTAAAATAGGGCTGAAAATTGAGAAAAAAAATGGATGAGAGCCACTCATACAATATTTCGAAGTGCTTTAAGATAAGGCCAGGTCAAGGCATTTTGCAGCCAAAAGTGAAGAACAAGATGATAACCACATCCCATTCCTTGTTCAACAGCCAACTGAACTGGCACTTGGAGATCTTTCTTCAATGCTGCTGATGGGAAAACGTCTGCTACTACATATGGCTTGACTATATTACCCCGAGCTCTCCCGGATCACACTTATTTTGGCTCTTAGGATTGTACAACACATTTTTTATACAAGCAATCCCCTAAATTCTGTCTTCGGCAGTAAGAAAAAGGGAATATTATATTTCATCACATAATGGTTGTCATTGCATAATAGTCGTATCCCCCTTTTGTGAGTTTTTTTAAAGATTTCTTACATAATAGTCACACCCTTAGTTCATGAGTGTGACTATTATGTGAAGGGGGCAGGCTCGCAGGTGAGTGAGGCTTCTCAGAGCTACAGGGGTTGCCTTGACTGCCAGCCAAGGCAAGCCTTCATAACTTGGAAAAGAGAAGTGATTAGGCCAGTGGTTCTCAACCTGTGGGTCCCCAGATGTTTTGGCCTTCAACTCCCAGAAATCCTAACAGCTAGTAAACTGACTGGGATTTCTGGGAGTTGTAGGCCAAAACACCTGGGGACCCAGAGGTTAAGAACCACTGGATTAGGCAAATGAAATCACTTGCCTGCCTCTTCTCTCCAAACCTGTGCTTTGAGGGTATAGCCATGCAGACAGGTGAACCTTCACTCGTTTGTGCAGCAGCACCCTCAAAAGGACTATTATGTGTCAAAAAAGCCCCTCAAGGGTGGCTTTTTTCACCACATAATAGTTGCTATTGCATGATAGTTGCACCCTCTTTTTTTGCCTCCCCCCAAAAGGGAGGATTGTGAATATTATGCGATGAAATACAGGAATTGTGGTCCTGTCTCCCCAATTTTTAGACAGAAGCATTAATGTTCTTCTGATACCTGTGAACTTTGGCAGAAGCCAGATGTGATTTGGGTTGGAAACTAAGAGGTTTCCATGGGTGGGGACTCCTAGCTAGCAACAACAATGAATGAATGGAACCTTTTGATTGCATTCAGGAAAGTTTGATCTATTTAGCAATCAGTGGGAAATCTGAGCTTTTACTCTTTTGGCAGTGTCTCTTACTGGAAGATTGGCAATAGCATCAAAAGGAGTGATGTTTGAATCCAGTGAAGGGCTTGGGTTTTAGCTTGAAGAAATCATTAAGTGTACTCTGCCTTTGTGTTGCCTTAAAAACTAAGGCTGTGGTCCTTTATATACTTACCTGAGAGTAAGATCCATTGTACTAAATAAGGGGTGCTTCTGAGTACAAACAAAATAGGTTCTGTAGGTTTGTTCTTAAGATGACTTTGTCAGAGAAGATATATTTTTTAAGTGTAACTCCAGCCAAAAATATGACCATATTTTGCTATGCTAGCTTTGGATGGCATAGGGAAGGGTTAATATCCCTATGGTGTTTGTTTTGCTGCCTGTTCTTTTGTTCAGAAGATTTCTGTCCCTGTGAGAACTGCATTTTGAAAAAATTGGCTTGTTGTGGAAATAAGGATTTGTGATAAAGCTTCAGTGGAGACCCTTTTCTCCATGATAACTCTTCCAGGAGTGGATTTCCTTTCTGACAGGTAGATTTATCTGACTTCCTGTTGCCTCAGCTCCATTCTTAAGAGTGAATTATTGGTAAATCAAATGTTTGTAATTCAGGGACTGTCTGTATATGTTTTTATTCTGAGATAGCCAGTGTGATGCAATGACGTGGGTGTTGGACTACGATTTTGGAGACCAGGTTCCCTCTCAGTCATGGAATCCAACTAGGTGACATCTGGATGTCACATCTTCTCAGTCTCAGGGAAAGGGACATCTCCTTTGAATAAATATGACCAAGAAAACCCTGTGTTAAGGTTGTCTTAGGGTTGCCGTGAATCAGAAATCACTTGGGAGGCACACAACAACAATTCTGTGTTTGTACTGGAGGATTGGAAGCTAATCAAAGCTACCCAAAATCAAACAATCCTCAAATTATGCTTAAAATCCTAATTGTAACATAATTGTAACAGAGATAATATTTTAGACATGTGGTAGGCTTTTACAGATTTAAATACAGTTTGCAAATGATGAGATTGAATGACCTGAGCAAGCCCTGAACTTTTTATTTTTTTGTGTCAGGAGCGACTTGAGAAACTGCAAGTCGCTTCTGGTGTGAGAGAATTGGCCGTCTGCAAGGACATTGCCCAGGGAACACCCAGATGTTGTGATGTTTTACCATCCTTGTGGAAGTTGCTGTCATGTCCCCGCATGGGGAGCTGAAGCTGACAGAGAGAGCTCATCCATGCTCTCCCTGGATTCAAACCTTCGACCTGTCTTCAGTCCTGCTGGCATAAGGGTTTAACTAATTGTATCATTGAGGGCTCCTATGACTGAATGGTGGGAAAGGAATGTACAATTCTGAAGAAACATCATCCTTTGTCATTGCGTTGTCGAAAGCTTTCATGGCCAGAATCACTGGGTTGCTGTGAGTTTTCTGGTCTGTATGGCCATGTTCCATGTTCTTCTGTCATGTTTGGGAAATGTTAGAAGAGATGAGAAACCGCAGCCGCTTCTTACCTTCACCCTCCCCTACTGCACAATCAAATACATTAGAAGTGATGTAGCATCTCTTCATCTTTTATTTTCTGCTGTTTTTCAGCCAATTTTAGTTGAGGGGATAATCTTTGGGATGAGGAGCTTGAGAAGCTGTAGGGTGCAAATTGCAGGTTTTGGCTGTAAAACTGCTGGCTTTTAATTTCAGAGACATTTTCTGGGGCCTTTAGGGAGCCTTTGAGCCCTTAAAGTCATACTTGGACCACCCCAATTAGGAAGGAGTAGGTTGATGTATTCTGGCCTCTTCATTCTCTTTGCAGGTCTATTGACTCTGCGATCATATTATCTACCTTAGGGTGGGATTCCATGCCTTCACAATTATTTCCAGAATTGTAACTCTTGACATGCTGCAATTTTTCATTTTTAGTTTTTCAATTTTCATTGATAATGATGGGAGCTTCAGTTTAGCAAATTTTGGAGGGCTGCACAGTTTCTACCTATGTCTCCATGCATGACATTATACAAAATATGTAATGTACCAATGTGTTTAGGGTATCATGGCTGTAATAATTGGGTTGCTGTGAGTTTTCTGGGCTGTATGGCCGTGTTCCAGAAGCATTCTCTCCTGACATTTCACCCACATCTATGGCAGGCATCCTCAGAGGTTGCGAGGTCTGTTGAAAATTAGGCAAATTAGGTTTATATATAATATATCTAAATTCAGGACAGTAAATAAAGAACAACACTAAAAAAAGAGGAATTCCAGACAGGAAACAATCAGGGCCAGCTAACATTGTATTTCATTGCAACAAGGCATATAATGGGTTATGAGTTTTCCAGGCTGTATGGCCATGTTCCAGAAGCATTCTCGCCTACTCATACTAGTATTAAAAAAAACTAAAAAATCAGGACAATAAATAAAGAGCAACACTAAAAAAACAGGGAATTCCAGACAAGAATCAATTGAGGCCAGCTAGCTTCTCCCAACAAAGGATTCCCCAGGTAGGAAGCAACCAGGCTTTGAAGCTGCAAGGCCATTCTGTGCTAATCAAGGTAGCCAATTGCAACATTCACATTTGCCTCAAACTGACAAGAGTTCTTTCTCCCACCCTGGATATCCCAGAGATATATAAACTTCACTTGCCTAGTTTCCAACAGACCTCACAATCTCAGCATGCCTGCCATAGATGTGTGTGAAACATCAGGAGAGAATGCTTCTGGAACATGGCCATACAGCTCGGAAAACTCACAGCAACCCTACGTACTGTGCTGTTTTTGAAAACACTGGTGAAGTCTTCAGGAGATGTGCACAGACAATATAAGCTTAGAGTTTTATGCTCCTTATTTTTTCCAAACGTGTGAAGTTTGAGGCCAACAGATTGTAATTCCACTCCTTCTCTACATACACACATGTGGTATGATATTGCATTGACACTAAGAACTGAGCTGAAAATTTCACTGAGGCGTTCTCTTTTTTGAAATGCAAAGAGCTGTCTTTTTTGGTTGTTTGATCTGTTCCAGCATCCAGGGAAATGAACTACAGTAAGCTCAGCATTTCAAAATTAAGTAAGCAAGAGCAGCAGGGACTGGCTCTCTTCTTTATAGAAAGCCAGCAGCCACCACAGCTCTGGATATGCATGATAATAAGAAATGCATACCCATTCCAGCAGCTTCCTGGTGGGAGAGGAGATTATATGCACAACTGCTGGACTATGATGAATCCTGCCTGCTATGGATGGTAGCCAATCATGCCTAGAATGTTTTTCAAAAGTCTGTCAATCCATTTCTCTCCGCAGCATCACCAGCAGGACCTGTCAGAAGAAGAAGAATTATTAGCCACTTTTACATCCAGCACAGAGCGAACTTCCCCAGCCTTTGAGATGCCTGTTGCTTCTACAAACTCTGAGACAGGTAAGAATTTACTCTTCTCTCAAGATCTGGCTCTCCCGTACTGGGCTCTTAAGCATCATAGAGTTGGGCCATCTACACCAGTGGTTCCCAACCTTTGGTCCTCCAGTTGTGATTTCAACTCCCAGAAATCCCAGCCAGCTTACCAGCTGTTAGGAACTGTGGGAGCTGAAATCCAAAACACCTGGAGGCCCAAACGATGGGAGCCACTGATTTAGACTAACCCCTGCTCAATACAGGCTATCCAGCTAACCAGTGGTTCTCAACCTGGGGTCCCCGGATGTTTTTTGCCTACAACTCCCAGAAATCCCAGCCAGTTTACCAGCTGTTGGGATTTCTGGGAGTTGAAGGCCAAAAACATCTGGGGACCCCAGGTTGAGAACCACTGAGCTAAACCATCACCAGCAGTAGCTATCTGGGTTTTTTTTAAAGGCACCTGGAGAAAGAGACTCCAACACCTCTTTAGGCAGTTGATTCCATTGCTGAACTGCTCTTACTGTCCAAAAGTTCTTTAGTTTCTTCTAATGTTAAATGGAAATCTACTCTCCTAAACTTCAAACTGTTAGACCTTGTCCTACCATCTGGGTCAGCAGAGATGTGTTGGATTACATATATGTAGGTTTTATAGTTTGTAGCATATTGAAATAACATTTTTTGAAATATTTGAAAGATAGTCAAGAAACAGGTCTCCCATGTGTTAGGGCAGTGTTTCCCAACTTTCCTTATGCCGCAAACCCTTAATACCATTAGTCATGTTGTGGTGACCCACAGCCATAACATTATTTTCATTGCTACTTCATAACTGTAATTTTGCTATTGTTACGAATCGTAATATAAATGTATTGTCGAAAAAACCCACAAGAACCTCGTAATATAAATATCTGATATGCAGGGTGTATTTCAATTCACTGGACCAAATTTGGTACAAATACACGATACACCCAAAATTAAATACTGGTGGGGTTGGCCAGGGATTGATTTTGTCATTTGGGAGTTGTAGTTACTGGGATTTATAGTTAACCTATAATCAAAGAGCATTCTGAACTCCACCAATGGTGGAATTGAACCAATCTTGGCACACAGAACTCCCATGACCAACAGAAAATACTGGAAGGGTTTGGTGGGCATTGACCTTGAGTTTTGGAGTTGTAGTTCACCTATATCCAGAGAGCACTGTGGACTCAAACAATGATGGATCTGGACCAAACTTGACTTGAATAGATAATATGCCCAAATGTGAACACTGTTGGAGTTTGGGGGAAATAGTCCAAAGAGCATTCTGAACTCCACCAATGATAGGATTGGGCCAAACTTTCCACACAGTACCTCCATGACCAACAAAAAATACTGTGTTTTCTGATCGTCTTTGGTGACCCCTCTGACACTCCCTCCCCCCCCCCGGTGTCCCGACCCCCAGGTTGAGAAATGCTGTGTTAGGGAAAACTGATGGAGAAAATCACAGGCAGGTGAAAAAATCTTCAAAGTTCAGGACTTCTGCACATTTTAGAAAACTTCTCTACAGGAAAGAAATTTCCTGGACAGAAAGTGGCATCTTCTTCAAAGAAAAAAATCACATATTTTTTAAAAAACCTCATTTTTTGTGCAGAAAATACAACTTCTGCAACAAAAAAGAGGTTTCCTGCACAGAAAATGATGTGTTCTGTGCAGAAAACTTGTTTTCAGCACAGATTTCTTATTGTCTGTACAGATGTAATATTTCCTGTGCAGAAAAACAATCCTTGTTTTATTTTTGTGCCCCAAATAATTCCTAAACTGTTACCAATTTTTGAAACTTTACCTTTTTTGCAGTTAGAAAGCATAATAGTTTATCTCGTACTTCTATTTAGGAATATAATTTTTCACAAATTTGATATTTCCAGGTGAGAACAATTTTATCATTTTAATCTTAGCTGCAAAAAAAGGTAAAGTTTCAAAAATTGGTTACAGTTCAGGAATTATTTTGGGCACAAAAATAAAACAAGGATTGTTTTTCTGCACAGGAAATAATGTGATCAAAGTGACCTGCCAAATTAAAGACACACATTGAATGTTGTCATGAGGAAGAAGAAGAATCATAGCTGAGTATTATTAAAGAGGCCAATTGTGTAACTCTTCAAAAGCCCATGTTTTTGCACAGAAAACTGTGTGTTTTGTAAACACACCTTGTCCTGCACAAAACATTGATTTTGCACAAAAAGTTGTTATGCAAATATTGTGTAAAAATACCTCATCCTGAAATGCAGTGGGAGGAAAAAGACTTTCTGAAATAAGTTTTTCTTGCATGCCACAACAAAATAAGTGACAAAATATATCTCTATATAGTCTCATATAATCCTGACATGTTGTGCTTCTGTATTTGTTTTCCTTTTAGATTTGTTTTCTTTTTATCTTGTTTTTGAAGCAAAATGCAGTCATGGGCTTGTGGCATGTTGTCGAATTTCTCTGCTTCCCTTTAGCAATTTTGTAGAGGTGTTTACAGGATTCTTAGCATTTGTTGTCATTCTTTCAAAGAAATTATCTTACACTCTCCTTGGTGTGTGTGTTGTTGAGGGGAGCTGCTCATAGTGAGAATTTTTCCTCTGCTAGTAAAACCTGTGGCTGAGTGATGCCTCCCTACAGAACAAATGAAACAACATATTTCCTCACCTTGCACCGAAACTGAAATATTACTGTTTTCTCAACATGGCAATATAATAGATTGCTGCTATGACAAATGGGGCCATCAAGAAAACCCTGCATCATCAAGTGTTGAATTCATCCACACTCCCCTGTGAAACTCAATTTCGCCCTCCTACCTGTTTTCACATGTAATTCTTGACATGTCTTATTCAAAGCACTTTCTCTTTCCTTCCCTTCCTTCTTTTTTATACTGCAAGAGACTTACATGGAGACTATTGAAAATTCCAAATGGAAGATAATATTTTAACAGGGTGAACCTCTTCTCACCATAGAAGCTCTCTTGCTCTCATTTGAAACTTTGATTTTTTAGTTATTATATCCTGGCTTGTTTGTTTACTATGGTTGTACAAACCCTGATATCCATATCCATGGATTCTGTTTCCATAGAATCAATCAGCCATGGCTTGAAAATATCCAGGAAGATCCAGCCTAATGGCAGGAATTGGGAACTTACGAGGTTCCCCTTTCCGTTCCTGGGATCCTTTCCTTTCTTCCTTTCAAGGGTGTCTAGGTTTGAGCAATGGGGTTAAGGAAGCAACCCTCCTGCGACCCTTTCCTATCTTTCTTTCAAGGGAATCTGGGTTTGAAGATCAGGGTTAAGGAAGCAACCTTCCTGGGACCCTTTTCTTCCTTCCAAGGAAGTCTGGGTTTGAGCAACAGGGTTAAGGAAGCACTGCATAAGACACATCACAGTATTCTTCTATTCTGATTGGCTGAATAGGCGGGACTCACAGGAAAACCCCGTGGGAGCAGCACGTGGCAGCTTCTCTACGCCTGGTGGTGCCGAATGGGGAGGAGAAGCTAGACGAAAAAATGTATTGGCTGATCCTTTGCCATCATGGCCATCCAGCCAAACCAAACAAGCCGGATCAGCCAAAGGAAACCGACCACTCCGAATATGTGCATAAACATAGTATCTATGGCAATCCTGGATCCAAATCCTAGCTGATACCAAAGGTCTATTGTGCACAGAATAAACTACAGGTTTATATTTGTTTTGCCGATTATGACCAGAAGCTTTAAATGCCTTTCTTATGCAAAAACAAGAAGTATGAGGAGGAGGAGACTCATGGAGACCTCTAGACATGGCAGTGGATATTCTGATTAGACAAAACCATAGTCAAGTTTCATTTTGGAATCTGACTGTTGGCATGGCCATGGCCTTTGGTTTTAGCCCAAAATGAAAATATCCGTTTTAGGAAAGAAAACCTCTCCCTCCCTGCCCCCTTCTCTCTTTTAATGAGATAATTTGTCAGCCAATTAGCTTTGCATTCTTTCAGCCTTCTAGGAAGTTGTAGAAGAATGCTTGCATTTAACTTTTAAATACCAGGAAAATAGTAGCGAAATGGTATCCTATTGGCAACCCCCACCCTCATGAACCATTGCTTCCAAACAGAATTGAACACTATTTCAAGAGGGACGAAATCAATCCTCCCCAATGATTACAATATAAATATTAAGGCTTGGTCATAATCCCCCAGTGCCACTTTCCTGAAAACATTTCAGCCTCAGAAAAACAATGAGACCTATTTTATAACAATATTTCTATTTGCACGCAAGAGTAAGATCATTGTCCTTCCTTGATGTTTGAAGTGATCAAGATGACTTTCCTGGGTGTTTCCACATTTTTAAAGCCTTTTAAAATAAATCCCACATACTTTCAGTCTCCCAATCAATCCTCTGCCATCTTGTCATTTCAAATGCTTTTAAAGTACCCCAATTTCCTCTTTCCTCTTCCCACTTTTCTTTGTCCTCAGCATACCTCCATCTTGACCATACTCATGGCCCAGTGTGCAATGTTGGAAGGTATGCCTCCACAATCAGGTCTCTTGCTCTCCAGATTTTACGACATGTTAGATCAATTTGACTCTATTTCCAAAGTCTCTGCACACTATCAACATTTACCTACTCCTTGCCTTTCTGTCTAAGCTCCTGACTACCCAATTAAACCTCTCTCAATGAATCTGCAGATTACCTTGGACGCCCAGCCAATAATCCTAATGTCCCTGCTTAAGCCACTTAACTGCACAGTTAGGAGGAAAGTTAATAGCACAGGGGGAAAGTTAAGGATGCACAATTTTGTCCTGTTTTGGAGTGATGCATTTCCACTTTTATGGTAGCTCCCAGGTGATCACCTAACCTGAAAGGGAATGAGCCTTATGTGGTAACTCTGAAGGTTCATGATCTATTTGTTTATCGTGTCAGAAGCAAATAATGTATTTAAAAAACACAAAAAAATTAAAAACTTGGCATTATACTAAATTTCCTTTGACCAGAAGCTGGCTGCTTGGGGTGCCTGTGGTGTCACTGTGAGAAGGTCCTCT